GTTTGGAAATGCGGGGCACTGGTCCATCACCGCTCTCGGGGCCAAAGCACCCCACTCTCGGAGTCTGTTACTACCGCCTCCGCAATGAGTTCCAGGGCTCAGTTAGAGTTCCACTCTTAAGCTAACTTCCAGGGAGATGAAAATCGGCGCTCTAGCTGTGCCGCCTGGAGGGGTCGGCCGCAGTGCTATGCGTGTCTCCAGCTCGCTTCCTTCCAGGGCCTGAGCAACATCAAAGATTGGACGGTGCTGGATTAAAACCAACTTCCGTGGCGCACAGAGCGGGCGCGTGAGTGGTCCGGGCAGTGTGCTGGTTTGGACTAATTAGTTATGATAGAAGCTGGGAGTCAAGTGGGGGAAATTTTAATATTGTCTGGATATTAGAAGCAATAAAAATGTACTGAGACATAAAACTGTACAGTACGGACAAAGCAAGTTATAAAACGGACTCGCGACCACACAGCGAGGCAGCAGGAGGCGTTCGTCAGCCAGGTGCCATCCTCAGCCTCAGCTCAGAACCTACTAGGAAACATGGCAGGTGGTAACCATGGCAGCTGGTGCTGGCATCCCAGGTGCCCTGACTTCTGTGCAGCAAGCCGTCTACCAGGCTGGTGTGCTGACAGCCTACCCAGAGCACAGCGGGCCCCACCCTGCTCCATCCTGCACGTCCCCAGCGCCTCTCACAGCCTGAGGTCGCATTGCTGGGTCTCCTGCCAGGGGCCGCTCCGGAACCGCCTGCTCCCAGGACTGGCCTGGAGGAGTGAACGAAATGCCACAGGGATTCGATGCACAACGAGTATCACAGAAGCAAAGTCCTAAAGGTGTCACAGAACCCCAAGGAACATTCTTTGGGCCTTGACCTTAATTCTGTTCCAGAATTCCCCCTACAGTAGACTCTGCTCCTTACTGCTCAATTCCTATTAAGTGTTGAAATTGTTGGGCAGATTAAAGGATTACGTTGGAGCTTTGGTGCTTAAACTTTGTGGAGAGAACTTCCCCGTCTCTGTAACTATTACCGGGACAGATTAGAAATAATTTGGAGCTGAATTGGATTTGCCATTTGGTAAGCTTTTCTTATCTGCCAGGGCTAATAGCAGACACTTTGCTCCTTATAATAGCCCAGGAGGAAGACCTATTATCTGCATTTTACAGATTAAAACTGAGGGTCAGATAGGCGAGAAAGCTTGCTCGCTGCTCTATAAATACGGCCAGAATCGATACAGGATGTTTTGTATCCCGTAAGTCTGGAAACTTAGAAATAGCGCCAGCTTTGGATCAGACGTATCTGGGCCTGAGTGTTAACTTCTACTTGGTAACGGCTTGACCTTGGGCGCGTTATTTAATCTTCCTGAGCGGCGGGTAATTTCCACCTGAATAACGGGACGCAGCCGTCATGAGCACAGCAACTGGACACACTGTTGAAAGCACTAATCTCGCGGGTGTGGACCCCAAGCCCCTCCGGCCTCGGCACACTCCACCCTCGCCGTCCTGTGCTCAAGCAGTCAACGAGCAGATGCATTGTCCCCTCCCAGCCGATGGGAGCCTTCATTCTGCCACCGGGCGGGGCTCACGGAAAGTTTTCATTTGTAACACAGCATAACAAAATGGGCCATTTGTTGTAACAGTTTTTTAACTACACTTGCTCTTAAGGTTTCTTACCAGAGCCTTCCAGTCGGCCATTTATAAATGCAATTGTTGAAATGAAACATACATGAACGTACATGAACATCCCAGGGCTCCAGTGCAAAGGCTGAAGTGACAGGAGTATTCAGCAGACGGAAGCCATCACCTGAGGGCTGTCGCCGCCAGGCCTGGTGGAATGAGCACACTCTGCTTGGCCTCCCTGATGCCCAGACTCTTCGGATTAAAGAGTCCGTGGATGGGGAGGGTGTCGCTGAGCTGTGGGGAGCATCTGATCTGGGAAGATCTACTTCAGGCTGAGCAGGGACCAGCCCGTGGCCTTGAGGACATTCCTGGGAACTCAGGGATAAAGCACAGAATGACAGCAGAGGTGGGAGTGGGGGGCGGGTGGAGATGCGGGGAAGGAGCGCTGGCTCTGCTCACGCCACCTGGAAGGCCTGGCAGGCAAGACAGCCTCGAGCGTGGCCCTGAGACTGGGGACATGCTGGGAGTTGGAGGAACAGAGGGAGGACCTTGGTCGGTCACAGGGACTGCAGCCCAGCTGAAGGGCAGGGGACGGGGTGTGGCCCAGGGAGGCAGCCTGCATGGCTGTCCCCAGGGACAGTCACTCTGCACCTCTCTGGACAGTGGGAGTGTAGGTAGTGGGCTGAGGAGGATCCCTTACGGTTCTCAGTCGGTGAGTTTTATTGGAAACAAACAGGGCACGTCGTCGATGCCTTTTCTGCAGCCATCATGGAGACGCTGGTAGTTTTCCTTTCTGGTCTGTTGGTACTGAGAACTGCATGTGTTGTGTTGCTAATGTTAAAACCAGTCTTGCAGTCCCCAGGTAACCCCACTTGGTCCACATTCTACATGTTGCGGAACGGGACATGCCCGGAGTCTGTGCCCAGGTCCTGTGGCTCCACACCCTCTCCATTGGCTTTGGTACCAGGGCAACGCTGACCCCACAGAACACTTAGGAGGATTCACTCTCTTTCAAGTTTCCTGAAAGAAGAGTTTACATAAAACCCATGTTATTCCTCCCTTAAATGCTTCATAAAATGCATGACTGAAACCATCAGGCTGGGAATGGTCTCTATGGGGAGTTTTAACAAGAGTCCCATTTCCTGAACGGCTACAAGGCTACTCCGACTGTGCTTCTGTGAGCAAGCCCACCAGCCTTGTGCAGGCCGCTGCCCGTCACAGTGGGGACGCAAGGCCTAGAGGCCGTGCTGCGGGGCCTGGCTGAGAGGAAGGTCATTTCTAACCCGCGTCCACATCACACAATCTGTTCAGTCCTCCGACTCGCCACACAGCACGCAGAACGACTCCTCGGGACCATGGACAGGCAGCGGGTGCCCGCTGAACGGGGACGCGTCTTCCCGGAACCAGAGGACACACTCCCTTCTCACCTCCTGAGGGCCTCCCTCGAAGCTGCTTCCACTGACTCACTTGTTTCCATGACTACGCCATTCCTGGGTGATAGCTTTACAGGTTGAGCACATTTCCAATTAAATCATCTTTCCTGCTTTGGGGAGATGTGTGAGGTAACAAGCTGGGCAGTGCCAGGAGGCCGGGCGATAGGGGCCCCCGCAGCAGCACCCCAAGCCTGGCACACAGTGCCACGCGCCCCTCAGGATTCCCACAGAACTGAAGCAGATGCGCCCTGACACCGGGGGGCCCTGCATCGTTTCAGTTTCGAGCTCCCCATCACCTTCCCCAGCAACAGACCACCGACTAACGCAGTTGCTCCCACACATCCCTCCCCACTGCCTTTGGGGGCACGGGGTCTGTCACCTGGGACATCCTGCTCCGAGTCTGGATATGGGTCCCATCCTACTCAGGGTCCAGGTTAGAAGGGACCCGGATTCTACCCTGGATCCGTCACCACTAACTAACTCCATGAACCAGGTTGAGGCCCAAACCTTCCCTAAATCCCAGTGTCCCCCTTTCCCTGACGAGATATTTCAAATGCTGAGAACACCTCTGAGCAGACAGCACTGGGCATGGCCAGGCCTGCAGAGCACAGTCCACCACGGCCAGCTCCTTTCCTCCGGGGCCTGGGCAAGAAGCCAACACTCAGAAGGCTCAGTGGGCCTGGCGGGCAGACAGGAATTCCTGGAAGGGACGGAGAGAACCTATAAACCGCCACGGTTGGTGGGGCCAAACCGAGGACTGGAAAGCAGGATCAAGAGGCTTGCCCTGGCCAGTGTGCTCAGTGGTTAGAGTGTCAGCCTGCTCACCACAGGGTCTCAGGGTCAATTCCAGGTTAAGGGAATGTACCTGGGTTGCAAGTTCGATCCACAGCCCCGGTCAGGGTGCGTTCAGGAGACAACCAATCCATGTGTCTCTCTCACACAACGCTTCTCTCTCTCCCTCCCTTCCACTCTCTCTGAAAATCATGGAAAAAATATCCTTGGGAGAGGAGTAGCGGGGCGGGGCGGGGGGGGGAGAGAGAGAGAGAGAGAGAGGCGCTTTGGGCTCAATGCACAAAACTCAGGAGAGCGGTGGAGGGAAGGCATGTCACAGTGCAACGGGCAGGGACTGGAGGGACTGAACGTGTCACATCTCCCAGAGCCAGCGCCCTCACTGGAGGAGAAGACCACCCTCAGAGTCATCGTGAGAATTAGAAGAACCATTTCCGTACAAGTGCCAGACAACAAGGATGCACTCAGTAAACAGTAATGGTATTTAAATAATTATATTTAAATACACGTGCAAGCAAGCACCACATTTATAATCATTATAAAACATGCAACTCCAACTGAAGAAAAATTCATGCACCACCACCATCACCCAACCAGCAGGAAGGGCGAGGCCCAGGATTTTTAAATCTGACTCTGCGACCCGAAACCTGTGCTCCAGTTCAGACGCAGGAGCTCTGTGGACATGACCCCCTCTGCTTGCCGGAGGCCCCCACGCACCCCAACCTCGCACTACACCCGCCTGCTACCGCACGTGCCTCTGGCTGCCTGAGTGTCTGGAAAGCAATGAGAGGAAGGAGGTGCCAAAGAAATAAGAAAAGTTTACGGGATCAACAACTGAACTGGGAATAATAATGCAATCAATGCGCTTTTCAAATGAAGAAAGAGGCAGGAAACAGCCTACGCCACTCAGGGCCCGCCTTGGTTGAACCCCCGCATTCCCAGATTTCATGGAAGCGAGTCAGCAACACCGCGGTTGGAGCACGCTGGCCCAGGGAGCCTGCTTCCCACGCCGGCGAGAGGAGCACCCGAGAAACCACATTCCACAAGCAGACCACTGCTGCCACACCCACGCCGCCTTCCCTTTTGGAGAAACACCCAGAACCTTGCCTCCGGAAAGGCTCAGCAGGAGCCGAGCGCCAACCCCGTGGCCGGCGGCATGCATGTGGGCCAACTCACCTTCGTGTGGCTCGGGTCCCCAGGCTTGCTGCCCTCGGGCGGGTTCGCGCCCTTGCTCTCCACACGTGGCCTCACTACTTGGCGGAAGGGGCTGCACAAGGGGAAGCCGCTCACGCTGATCCCATCTGAAAGGTGAGGATGGAGTGAAGTGAGAGGGCAGCTGATGGAGGGAGGAGCTCTCGCTCAGACACAAACAGTAAGAGAGGAGAGCCAGCCTCTGCCAGCCCAGCCTGCGCTCCCTGCACTCTGGTGACGCCCCGGAACGAGCACCCACCCCCGCAGCAGGAAAAGCTGCGTGGAGACACACAGCCCAGCACCAAGTTCCCCAGGGGGGCCTGCAGGTGCCAGAAGAGACCTGGACCCAGGGGCCGAGGATGTGAGCAGGGCCTCTGACGTAGTCGCAGGGCCAGGTGGGGAAAACCCTGGTGTGAAGTGTCCCCCAAGGAGGCAGGACACTGACGCTGAGTCCCGGAATGTCTGGGTGGGACCCCAAAGGATGACACACTAAGTGAAGGGCAGGCTGGAAATAGTGCAGCCTCACAGGGACCACGGCCAGGCTCTGAGGCCTGTTGTTCCTGCTCCTGGATCCAGGCACTTCCACCAAAACTCTTCCCGTGGTGCCCCCTCCTCCCAGTGTCTTTGTCTCTGGTCACAGGCATCCTCTTCCATAACACTCCCCTGCACCGTGTGACCCCGGGACCCGCTCCCTGCCTGCAGTCCAGACCCAGGAGCACAAGCTGCTGCCAGGGACGTGGGTGGAGATCAGACCCTGGAGGCCTGACTCCCAGCCTCTCCACCATCTGGCTGAATGGCCTCGGCCAAGTCCCTTTTCGTCTTTGAGCCTGAAGTGCCTCATCCCTAAAGCAGGAGCAGCTATAACACACGGACCGTGGGGTTGTCTGGAAGCATGAATGAGTCACTGCATATAAAGTACGTATCTCAGCGCCCGGCACCGGCAAGCATCCAACAGAAACCGCTACAATTACTACAGCAAAGTGTGTGCCCTGACTCCTCACTGACTACAAACTGCATGAAGGCAGAATCCTCGTCACTCCCACTGCCGGACCTCCCACAGCAGCTGGCACGGGCTCACGCAGATCACGAGCCCTCAGTAAATGGTAAGTAAATGAATTAAAAAGACAAAACCCATAACTAACCTAGTCTCTCAAGTTCGACTTGACCGCATCACTTCCTTAGCACACAGGGAAGGCTGGGAGAGGCTGGCTGGGAGACCAGGTTCAGTTCCCAGAGAGCGAGAGAGGCATTCAGCCTCTGAAGGTACAATCCACTGCCTTCCGAGGGGCAGGCCTCTGTACCGGCTGCTCCCTGAGGTTAAATGGGGTCATGAGGATGGGGCCTAAGCCCACACGGCGGGTGCCCTTACAACAGACACCAGGCGTTCTCTCTGCCACGTGAGGACATGGTGGGGTCAGGTAGGCATCTGCAGGCCAGAAGGCCCCTCACCAGAGCCCAGCCATGCCAGCCTCTGCTCTCAGACGCTCACCCTTCAGAGCCATGAGAAATAAACTTCTGTTGTACAGCCACGCTGTCGGTGGTCTTTTGTTATGGCAGAGCTAACTAATACACCCACAATGCCGCCACATGAATGTCTGAATGCACGCTTCATAATTTGACATAATTAATCCATGGGATCTTATCTGTAATCAGAGATTCCCAAATATAAAGTCCCATGTTCTCTAGACTCCGAGGCCTCAGAAAAATCACCAGACTCTGAGGAGAGCTTGATCATCCCTAATTAGATCACAGCAGGTGAACTTGAAAAATGCAGTTCCCTCACTCCACCAACTCAGGGTGCCCTCCTGGCCCCTGAGCACAGCACAATGAAGGGTGTGAACGAGGAACTTTAACTGAGAAGCCCTCTGCTGCTCTCAGATAAACGGGGACTCACTCGGGTAATGAGGCGCCCGGGAGTCTCAAGCAGCTTGAGTGAGTGAGTGACAAGCAAGGGCGGCGGCGCAGCTCGGGGACCGCGGAGCACTAATGGGAACGGGAAGCTCACCGTCGCTGAGGTCTTGGAGGAGGTTCTCCTGGCACGAGAAGTCCAGCTTCACCTGGATGTTGACAGTGAGCGTGGCCACCTGGCCGGGCTGCAGGGGAAACTGGGCCAGGGCTTCTTCTAGCTTCCAGCTCAGGAAGTCGCCATACAGCTTTTCTGCAATGACAACAACAGTGCGATGGTGATAATGTGACTGAGGCAACAGGAGGCTCGCTGATCCCCCGGGGAGTTCTGATGCATTCTCAGAAAGCCCAGAAAAACGCAAACCATTTCAAATGTTATAGATCAAAGTACCAAGAAAGTGCCAGTCCTGGGTGTTGGGAGGCCATCACGTGGGTGTGTGAGTGAGGCACGAAGAGGAGGAAGGCGCCAAGCTTGAAGCCAAGTCACCTTTGCAACCACCGAGCGGCTTCCTGTGGTTTTCCACACGGAGTGTGCATGGCACAGGCTCCTAAATGCACACACGTGCTAACGGCTCACTGTCGGAGATGCCCTGTGCCTCGGGCCTGCTGAGGTCAGTGGCCCACGGAGAGCCTGTCAGAGGGATGCATGGGCTCCAGGGGCTGGACCCACTCAGGAAACCCTGGCTGCAGGTGACAGGTGGGTCCAGGCAAAACTCTTCTGAACCTGCAAACACCCCTGCATTCATTCACTCAAGAATGCTTCCTGAGGGTCTACAATAGAAAGGCAGGTACAGGGTGTGTCCTCTGCTCCATTAGCCTCCTGCGTGCACTCTTCACACATGACTAGAACGCCACTCTCACGAGAGCATCAGACAGAGGGAGAAGCTTTCAGACGCTCTGCACACAGCACAGAACAGCATGTCTTCTGGGAATAGACAGAGAAACTGCTCAGGGCAAACCTGCCGGGAGCACCCACCTTTGGAGGTGAGGACTTTGGAGGTGACTTCCAGCTTCTCCAAGGGCTCCACTCCGATGTTCTCCAACTTGATGACAAGCTGCTGCGTCTCTCCGTTGTAAAGCTGGACGGACACATGCGTGGATACTTCGTCACCAGAGGCAGGTTGCAAGGAGTGCGCAGATCTAGGATAATGGTAGTAACAATGACGCATCATAAAAAGAAGAAAAGAAAACCAATGCATTTTAGAAGTATTAATATCACCGCATGTAGAATTTCAGAACGAGGGACAGGGAATCTGGGCTTGAAACAGGGAACGCAGTGCCCCGCCACCAGGAACAGGAGGGTGAATTGGCCACAGAGGACCGGGCAGACCCGAGTGTGTTTATACGCGCCACAGAGAGCTTCACCCACTGTCTGGTCCAAAGCACAGAAAGGAGTGTTTAGGCAGTGCCGGTCTCACACCTGCGCTGTGCAGGGAGAAGCCGACGCTTAAGCAAGTTGGGCTCACGGACCAGTCATGACCAGCCCAGGGCCTCTGGTTCCAGCCCGGATAGAGAATTGCTTTTGATGTCAACAGCAGAACTCTTTGCCTAACCCAAGAGCATGAAAACTTTCTTCTGAAAGTTTTACACCTTCAGCTCTTACAATACGTGCCAGGATCCCTTCCGAGTTCACTCACGCGATGCTCCTCCTGCCTCTGGTCTCAGGCTGCTCCCTCCTCAGAAAACCCTCCTGTCCGCCCACTCACCTGCTAACTCCTCCCTTACCTCTCCCATCACAGGCATGTACGCCACCTCCTGGAAGTACTCCCGCAGCCCCTGTGATCCCCAGCCCTGTCAGCGTCCTGAGGACAACGCCCTGGGACTGCTGCTCCCTGTCCACCTCCCCACAGCACTGGAACTGCCTGGGCAAGGACAGGACTGGTGTCAGGCCTGTGCCCAGCGTCCGGCACAGTGCCCACGACATGTGTGAGGGAGCTTTTAGGACATTTCAGAAAATACCAAGACACGTCTTACAAAAACAGCCAAAAGAGTCAGCATGCTCTGTAAAAGCAAAAATGGAGACAATCCCAAGTTCCAGAGCAAGGACATGAATGGTGCTGGGATTCTGAGATACTTTTTACAATGAGCTTTCTGACGGCATTGAAGTAAATGTGTTTAGCTTATGTTATATGCTTATGCAAAAAGTAATCTATCCCACTACCTATACTGTAATTAATAGGTACAGGGGTTGACAAAAGTGGGTTTGCAGTAAGAGTACACAAAATGCCAAGTTTATTCTTATGTTACAATTAATTACTATATTGTTTATTTGTATTATGTCTTTTTGTTGTTGTTCATCTCACCCAGGATATTTTTCCATTGATTTCAGAGAGAGTAGAAGAGAGAAGGACAGACAGAGAGAAACATCGATGTGAGAGAAACACATCGACTGGTTGTCTCCTGCACACGCCCCGACCAGGGTCAGGGAGGAGCCTGCAACTGAGGTACATGCCCTTGACCGGAATCGAATCCGGGACCCTTTGGTCCACGGGCCAATGCTCTATCCGCTGAGCCACACTGGCTAGGACTTATGAGCATTATTACTGCTGTGATCTCGCGTCCTTACTTACGGATTTATCTTTTAGGTAATTTAACCTACTTGGGCCCACCCCTCACTATATTTCACAAAAGTTGTGACTGCAGAGGCTAAGTGCACACTGTGTCTGCTCTGGGTAAGAAACCCTTCTGCCTCTCCACTCGCTGCCACAGAGCCCATCGCTCCCGCTGTCCCGACACAGCCCTTGCCCACACCCTAGTCGCAAAGTTGGAGCCTGACTCAGGCTCCTGGTGCCCGAGGCGCACACTGAGCGACGCGCACTGAGCCATCTGCCTCGGTGCCATGGGTAGTCCGGAGGCCGGTACTGCTCTGTGGCATCTACCTGGGCAGAGACGTGCTGATTTGCAGTCTGGGCAGAGCAGCTTTTACTTCAACTGTGGAGCCGTTGTTCTTTATTCCTGGGAGGTTGTCCAGCAAACAGTCGCTGAAGACGCCAAAGACGGTGGTGTGGTAACCTGGGAGACAAGGGGAGGGGCTTCCACCCGGCCAGCTTCCAGGCCCAGGCCTGAGGGCCGAGCTGAGGTTCAGGCCCGTCACCTGCCAGTCCCACCCATAGGCCCGCGGCTTCCCCCTGGAGGCGGAGCTAATGCAGCACCCAATGCCCACCTTACCAGGCTGCCTGAGCCCCAGTGAACATGTGCCTGTGTGGTCTCTGTAAACTGGGATCTCTGCACAGCTTAATTCCATCTCGTCCCTTTCCTGATGTGCTTTTTAAGTGGCTGTCTGTAACGTGAGAGTGAGAGCCAGCACTCCTTTCCAGGACGTCACGAGACTTAAGTCTTTGAAAAAATGATTCAAAGTCTAAGCTCCAGAGCCGATTATTGTCATCATCACCGCCACGTGAGACAGCAAACCTGCTGCTTGTGGACAGGAACCACAACCTAAAATTAGCAAAATTTCCACGACAAAAAAAACTCCCTCAGTTACAAAAGCACTTGAAATTGTTCAAGCTTTAAAATGGCTTTTGAGCCCGGCCAGCGTGGCTCAGTGGTTGAGCATCGACCTATGAACCAGGAGGTCACGGTTCAATTCCCAGTCAGGGCACATGTCTAGGTTGTGGGCTCAATCCCCAGTAGGGGACATGCAGGAGGCAGCCAATCAATGATTCTCGTCATTTATGCCTCTATCTCTCCCTCTCTGAAATCAATAAAAATTTATTTAAAAATAAAAAAATGAAATAAATAAAATGGCTTTGAAATTTTGAGGTTCCCTACGTAGCAAAATGAAGCAATGCCCGGGGGTTGGGACTAGGTTGCTGCTGATCGGTGACAGGCCTCCGTGAGTCAGGGCAACAGGGCGGCTGGCCGTCCTACCGACCCGAATCGGAGAGAAACCCCCTTACCGTTCACGGAAATCGTCCCCGTCGTCTGGGGGACCCCGACGAGCGTCACTGGGTAAAGACCAGACTCGGCCGGGAGGGAAAGTGCCGCAGGAAGAGACTCGAACTCCACTCCACTCGTGAGGAGCCCCTGGAACAAGGGGCAGGCGACATGAATAAGCGCAGCCCAGGCCCACAACCCCGCACTCAGCTCGAGCAGCCAGGGTGTGGCCACTCACGGCTCTCACAGCACGCCAGAGGCCAGAGGCCGTGGAGGCGGCGAAAGTGCGTTCACACGAGACAGCGGGAATGGACGCAGCCTGTGTGCCTAAACACATCCCTCCTGGTATCAGCCCAGCACTATTTTCTGTCTTCATTTGGTTTTGTTGTTTTACCAAATGGGAATGTAAAGACAAAGAAAAAACATGAAGCGTGGAAATACATCGTCCAGCATCTACGAATCATCAGCTCATTTCCGAATTGACAATGAACGAGACCGAGTCCCTGGCCTCAGGAGCTGCACCACGACTGGAAACGATGCAGGATGTCAGCTCTGGACGGCCCAACATTGTAACAGACATGCCCCAGTGCAAGAAGGCAAGAAAAGGAAATGAAAGGCACACAGACTCTTATTCACACACACACACACACACACACACACACACAAACTGTGGCCACAGAAAGCCCTACGGAATCTAAGTGGAAAAACTAATAAGTGCATTTAGCAGAGTGACCAAGGCATCGTTTTTAAAAAGGGAAGGTGCTGCTACCATAACCTAGCAAGAGCGTGTTGATGCTGTGAGCCCGAGTTCTCACGCTGGAAGAGGGATGCAGGTGTGGAATGGAGGAAGGTGAGAGAGGACTTATGGAGACAGATTAGAGCTGGAGGTACCCCTGTGAAGTCGGGATTTATGAAATTTGTGTTTGTGCTGTGCATATGGGCATGAGTCTATGTACACATATGCCGGGGCATGCATGTAGGCACATATGGGCATACATGGCTGTGTGTACATGCTTATAGGTGGATGTGGGCATGCGTGTCTGTGTGTACATGTGTGTCAATACATATGGACATGCATGTCCACATGGGTACATATGGAACTTCGTGTCTAATGTACATGCATGCACAATTCTCCTACCTCTGTCTACAGAAAGCACCCAAGAGACACTCTAGTGGCAGTGAGCACACCTGGGCCCAGGTTTTGAGCAGAAGTGAGAAATGATCCAACTATGTAAAGAACAGATGTCACGGGCAGGAGTAGAAACAGAAACCAATTAGATGGCTATTGCCTCTAGGTGAAATATAGCCGCATTTTGTTTCTTTTTAAAATAGCTAATGCAAATATGGCCAGCTGTTAACATTTTCTAAATGGGGATGGTGGATATGTGAATGTTTATTATTCCCTGTAACATGTCATATGTTTGAGATATTTCATGACTTAATTTTTTAAAACCTGACCATGACTGGGGGGCTACCTCCTGGTGTCATTTTTTTTTTTTTTTAAGAGAAAGTAGAATGGAGGGAGACAGACAGAGAGAAATGCGAATGGGAGAGAGACACATTGCTTGGTTACCTCCCACACACGCCCTGACCTGGGCCAGGGACTAAACCTGCGACCCAGCTACGTGCCCCTGACAGGGAGACCCTGAGACCCTGTGGTGCACCAGCCGACACTCTAACTGCTGAGCCACACCAGCCAAGGCTCCTAGTGGTCATTTTTATTTTAGTCTTTGTTCTTCCCAATTTTTTATGAAAAGCTACTTTTTTAAAAGATAAAAACAGTATAAGAAAAAACAGGAGGCAGATGATACTTTGATCACTTTGGGGAGGATTCTCTAAACAACTATCATTCCCTGTTTGGCCAAGAGACAGTCCCTAGAGAGGCCTGGTCACAAGCCGAGCAAGAGGCCAGCACGTTCCTGTACCACGGGGGGCAGCACCCTCCAAGGCCCGCCTCTGAACAGCCTCAGCACTGTCAGCTCAATATGCAGCGGACGCTCTAAGAACTCACACAGATTTCAGAAAACTATGCCGCGTGCTGAAGGCCTTAGCATCACCGTAAACAATGCCCCGCCCACCTGGGAACTCTGACTGGTGCTCTCAGCCGAGCCGTCGTCATCCCTGCCTGACTGCACAAGGGTCCTGCGGCCCCTCATGCACCCCCACACCAAAGGACTGACCACATCACCGCAGGGATCGGGCCCCGGTGCCCCGCCCGAGGCCTGGCCATGGCATGGCTCTCAGCCAGACACCTGCACGAAGCACCTGCCCTGGCCCCTGAATGTGATCGAAAAACTCCGAGTGTCTCCACCCTCCTTTGCAGGCCTCCCTGTGAGCGTGCATACAGGGGACTTGCACAGTGGACTCTGCCCTGGGATCACTGGGATCAGCCCCGACAGCCAGGATAAAGCCCCTCCCACAATGGAGTCAGGTGAGCACTTCCGACAGACACCGCTCCCTGGTGAGCTGGAACGCCCTGCACACAGGATCAGCACCCGGGTCTCGAGGCTGAGAAAAAGCCCAGGAGAGTGATGAGAACGTCACCCTCTCCTTCAGCCTTGGTCACCTCATCGTCAGGCAGCAGCAACGTGACCTGTGATCGTCGCACGCAAACCTCAAGGAGATGATTTCAAATCTGATTTCCAAGCAACTAGACATGATGTGAGTCCCAATCAGAGGGGTCTCTGTCCACTGATTCAAACACCGACCGAGTACCAAGCACTAGAGACCCGGGAAAGATAAGGTGTGATCTCCACTTACAAGCTGACCAGCCCTGACAAAGCAAATACAAAACCTGACACAGCTTAGGATGTGTACCTCACGTATTAGGTAAAAAACACATCTACATAACAAGGTGGTAGTCAGCACCAAAGGGTCGAGTGCGTGGTGATACATACCATGTTCTCAACTCGGAGTTCAAAGGGCATGGGGTTGTACACCATCAGCTGGACTTCGCACACGTCTCCCTGCACCCACTGGAAATCTAGAAACACACACACAGGGTCCATGTGTTAGCTGGTACTCTGTGTATTTCACATGGTTTCCTCTGGCAAGTCCTTTCTCCGGCGAAGCAGCGGGCATAAATATCGTCATGAGGTAGCCAAGACAAAGCTGGTTTCCCCACAGGCTTTCTCGGAACCAGAGCAGGTCCTACCACCATTTGGGTGCCACATGACAGGTATTTCTTGCCATCAGCAGAGACTGATTCTCGCCATCAAGCCAAATGCAGCCTCACAAAACCGAATCAGTCCCGACAGCACCAAGCTGGGCACGGAGCCGCCAGCCGCACAGCTTCTGGGCCCCGAGGCCAGTTAAGTGACATATTAGCTTGCTGCCCTCTCTCTCCCCTCAGTAACACAGTGGCTTCTCCTCCCTGACCACTCCCAGGGCGGCTGCAGGTCACCACCTGTGGGAGGCAGAGTTCTGAGATGACGCCCAGCCTGGGGCAGGTGCCCTGGGAGAGCCTCTCCCGAGTGTGAATATGAGGAGGAGGCTCTGCTCTGTCACAAAGGAAAAGGGATTCTGCAGACTGACTAAGGTCTCCAATCGGTCAACTTGGCGTTAATCAAAAGGGAGAGTACCCTGGGTGGGCCTGGTTTAATCAGGTGAATCCTGAAAGAAAAGACTCAAAGCCAGAGAAGGCCTATGGGAGGCCATATGGCAAAGCCCCAAGAGCGGCCTGGAGGAGCTGAGAGCGGCCTGGCTGACAGATAGCAAGAGAAGAGGGGTTTATACAACTCCCCCAATCATACAAGAAGACTCATCATGGAGACTGGAATTGTGGCATAAAGACACGTGATTCTTCAAACCTCTAGGCAGGTCCTAGCTGATGAGTATATTACCAAAGAGAAAGAAGCCACAGAATGTAAATTACATTTTCCTACCCCAGGGTGTTCAACCAATCATATGCATTCTGGCTGCAGCTTCTGTTACATCTCAGAAAAAATCTTGCCTCACCCACTGAATGCATCCTCAGTCCAGGTGAGCAGGTGCTTCCCGCTGTGATGGGAAGCCAGGTGCTAAAGGAGATGCCCTGGCTGTGACCACTGACTGGGCTGGGGCCTGAGCTCAGCCACGTCCGAGCTCCACCCAGGCAGGCGATTTAGATTTGCCGCCTTGTTTTCTGTCTGTAAACTGGGACTAGGACGCCTGTAGCGCCTGCAGTTAGGAGGATCACTGCAGCACAGAGGATTATTTTCATAAAATGAAACCTCGACAATTTCTTAAGCCGGGAGAGGAAAAAAGAGGGGCAGGGCCGGCCCCGGGGCTGACCCTGCAGCCGCACAGCCCCAGGCGCCAAGGGCCCGCCTCTGTCTGTATCCCCACCCAACCCTGAATGGAGTCAGCCTTTCATCCCCAGTGGCTCGGAAGCCACGCCAGGCCTTGGAAATCACTCCACTTACTGCCCTGCTGCAGTTCTCATGAGTCTCCGCTAACAGAGGCCCTCTGGCCTCTACAACTCCCACAAACATCCCCTTTCGTGAAACAGATTTTTAAAAGTCAGATCTATGACAACTGCCCGACGGAGGCAGTGAACTGATAAGCCGAGAGGAGAGACTGCTCTGTACAGATGCCCGCACGGGCGTGAAGGCTTGGCTACGCACAACACGCTGCATGTGGGTGGGCGCGGCGAAGCTCGAAAGCCAGGAGGACGGTCCTACCGATCTTCTTGCTCCGCTCCTCCCCACGGCTGTGGGCCATGATGGGCGAGTAGATGAAGGGGCTCTTGGCGGACACGTTCTGGCCCAGCAAGCTCTTCACTTTCTGCGGCCGGAGGCTGGCAGGGAGATTCAGCAGTTGCACACGCCTACAGTTTCAAAGGGAACAGAAATACGTCACCTGCCTTGTCAGCTTGGTTCAGCGGGAATACCAGCCAGCAGGCTGTGTCAGGAGAACAGTGCATCCCACAGCAAACAAACTGAGGGAAAGAAATCGCTCCGGTTCGGCAGGACAGCGCGAATGCTGCACACGGTGGCCCGGACCCTCCCAGGACGGGGCGGTGACCCTGCAGTCGGAGGCCCGGTTGAAACCTGAACTGCACTGCGCAGCACTGTGTGCCGGGGCCAGAGGCAGGCCGGCCCCAGACTTGGGCCCCGTGTCTATGAAGTGCGGTGAGCCCTCAGACTGCTGGGAGGACTCGAGCTGCCCCACTCAGGTTCCCTCTTCTCCCTGCTCTCTCCTTCCTGCCGAGCACCCACACAGCAAACAGAAGGGCAGCCCCGATCGCTCAGCCCCAGGGCCCACGTGTGAAGGTCAACAGCACCGTTGCTTCATTTAAGGGAATGACTGGGTCTCCATCGGCCTGGCTGTACCTTACGCTGCTTTCCCAGCTGGGACGGGTGCTCAGCAATGCTCACGCTCCCACCAACCAGCCTGTGTGTGCCGCCGGTTTACTAATCCATGGAGCCTGCGCACATCCAGGCCCTGCAACCACCTCCGTGCACTCCCTCGTTACACACCACACTTGCCCCGTCGGTTCCAGTCAAGGGCTCGTACCTCGGTCACAGGCTCAACCCCCGGCCCTGGTCAGGATGCTTTTAGGAGGCAACCAGTTGACGTGTCTCTCTCCCATGGATGTTTCTCTCTCTCCCTCTCTCTCTCTCCCTCTCTCTCCCTCTCTCTCCTAACCCCCTCCCTTTCACTCGCAAAAAAAAAAAATCAATGAAAAAAATATTCTTTGGTAAGGATAAAAAAACTAATAATAAAATATGCAAAGGAATTCGGAGGGCGTGGTCAGCCAGACAAGGAAAGCAGCGGGCAGCCAAGGCATTCACTCACAACCAGAACTGGGCACCAATGTCTTCTTATGAAACACATCCTAGGGAAAAACAGTCACGAGGCACTGACTTCATGCAGCAAGAGTCGCTGCAGAACTAATACTGTATGTTTGTTCTTCGAAGCTGCCACCAACCAAGAAAGCAGAATCCCAGGGACAAGACGTCCAAGACAGGGAGTATTTTTAGAGACTTTAGGGGCTGTTAACATTTTAAAACCTGGCGCCGCAGCATGCTGTTGCTAACTGAGGCCGTGAAAGCAATGGCGGAAAACTAACCAGGAAAGTGATACAAACTGGCAGAGAGGGGCGCCCGGGAAAGAACTCACCTCTCTCCCTTGCTTTTCACTCCATCGACCTAATTCACAGCAGAAACACACCTGAGACCCAGTGGAGAGCTCTGCAAACGGGCATGACGAAAACTCGCCCTCTCTGCCCACATCGGGACAGTGTGGAGGGCACCCACCCCTCTAAGCCCACATGGCTGAGATGGCCAGAGAGGGCATGAACCCAGCCAGGCTAGTGATGGGACCACCCCCTCAGGCTCCTGAATGCTGCTGTGCACATCTCACTATCTTCAAACACCCCAGAGGGAGGTGACGGGCTGGGTGATACTCAGCGGGACGGAAGGGCTGGGCCACGGAGGACCCTGGTGGGGCCTTGGGAGCCTCCTCCTAACACTGGGAGGCTGGCTTTGCCCCGTTTCAGACAAGGAAAACCACCCTGACTAGCGTGGCCTCCGGGCCCCTTTTTGAATAAAGGCCTGTAATCCTTCCTCAAACAGTATAATCAACTTAAGAGTTTACATTTTAAAAGCACCGAAGCCACTCAAAGCAACTCGAAGCTCATTGGAGGGTTTTGATCCTCATCAATAAAAACGGCCTCGTTAACTGCAGAGCTCTCACCGGGCTGAAGGGGTTCAATGTTGGTGCGTAAAAAACAACCACCATCAGCCAGCCCTCCCCCAACCCCAGGCCAACGACAGGCCCACTGGCTTTCTGTCAATGGCATCTCCACTCCGCTCATTTCTCCTCCAGTAATCCGTGGCTGGCAGTGTGCACACAGCCCACATGACCGTCTGGGCAGTAACAGTCGGGCTGGCTTTTATGTACATGCTCATGTGTGGAGGGTTCTGCAGGGATAAACAAGGTGCTTATACTTCAGTTGGGCCGTCTTGGCTTGATACCCAGGGAGGAATGACTGGTCTGGGTGTGGCAGGCCCTGGCACAGGCCCCTGGGCAGCCCAGAAACCCGGGCTCCGAACATGCTGGCCATCCTCTCATCCCCGGGACACCCCTTACATGTGCTAGGACTGCTGATGAGGTCCGACGAGACAATAGACAGTCAGCGACAAATGGAGACTCATCTAAAGGTCTTGTTCACGACCAGGGCTGAGGACGGGCCCAGTGTGACGCACACCTCCCGCGCTCGCCAGCCGCCCTACCTGACGATGGGCAGCTTGGTGAGGGGCACAGGCGGCAGGCTGAGGCCGTCCGGCAGGGTGATGAGCTCCATCGTCCCAGGGCACTTGGATGTGTAGCTCTCCAGGCTCTGCGTCACGTCTTTCTTTTCTGAAGAGAAAATAGAAATAAAACAAAGGTGAGAACAAAGTCAATGTGGGAAGCTTTTACTTTATTTAAGCAAAAGTAAACTTCTCAACCCAAACCCTGACAGTTCAATGAGTCCCATCTTCTGACAGCGATAAAGGGGCAGCGACCACAAGAGACCAAAAGAAAGTGGGAGCTTTGTTCGATGTATTTAGACGGCCACTAGCAGCGGCTCCATTTAGGGCCTGTGGGTAACGGGAAACTTAGTTACCGTCTTCTAGATTGCATTTCCCAGGAAAGTCAGCAGGCGGACAGGATGCAGACCAGCATGTTTATTCTTTAGCCAATACTTGTCCGGCAGTCCCCAGGTCCAAGCCAAATGCTGGGCCCACCCCAGGAGTCTGCATCCGTCCACATAACGATATTCGAGAGCAAAAGTTCAGGTCTACATTTCTGATGCCGAAAGGGAGCCTTGTGAGACGACCATTTTCCCCACCCACCCCACCCTGTCCCTAGGAGGGAGGAAGAGAACACGGTGACTATGAAGGCGTTTGCTTGTGTCTGCGACGTGCTCCCCTACCTGCTCTCAGACTGTGAGTGCGACCCCCACGAACGCACTTTCCAGCCTAAAACACATGGCAGCCCTGACTGGTTTGGCTCAGTGGATAGAGTGTCAGCCTGGGGACTGAAGGGTCCCAGGTTCGATTCCGGTCTAGGGCATGTACCTTGGTTGCGGGCGCATCCCCAGTAGGGGGTGTGCAGGAGGCAGCTGATCAATGTTTCTCTCTCATCGATGTTTCTAACTCTCTATCCCTCTCCCTTCCTCTCTGTAAAAATCAATAAAATATATTTTAAAAAAACAACACATGGCAACCCAGGGAGGTAGGCCTCGTTACGTCCGTTTCGCAGAGGAAAAGGCAGAGACCAAGTGACGTCAGATGGCTTGTCAAAGATCACATGTCTGTGGTCTTGTCACTATACTGTTTAGAAGAATCAAGGAAGTTGGGGGGCAAGGGGGTAGTTCGGGACTCACTCCTCGGTCATTGTTTCCTCTGTCATTGCAGACAGACCTGGAGAGAAGAGTAGCAGGGCGCCCGGGGGAGGCCCACGGCAAGGCAGTCGGACCTGGTCCACTAAAGGCTTGTCCTCCCTGGCTGCTGTGCGCACCGTGGGGAAGCCACCCAACCTTCTGAGCCTATCTCCCATGTCAAGAGTGACCAAGGACGAATGCGATGAGGTATCAGAAACTGGCTGGTAGACGTGAGCACGGAGCCCCGGGAAATGAGGGTGACTTCCGGCCTCTTCTGTTTGGCGATTGCCCCAATAAGTGAAAACGCAGAAGACAACACAGATCGCTGGAAACATGATACTCAGCCAGTTAAACATCTTACGTAGCAAGAAAAACCAACTCTGCTCTTCTTCACTCTGCAAACACACCCAGGCAGCTCCTCGGCCCAGCTACGAGGCTTGGAACGGTCACGTGCCACCGCTACACTGATGAGCGACCTGCCAGGCCAGCAGGGTGGACACGCCCTCCCTGGGCCAGAACCAGCCTCTCTCTCCTCAGCAGAACCCGGACGGGCTACAACACGGCGAGCCACGCTGACGCCTCCGTGGCACTGCCTGCACCTGTGACTCACGTGGTTTACACAGCGACACCTCGGGGCCCTGATCAGCAGTCATTCAAGCACAGCGGGAGATTAAATATTTCCCTTGTTCTCTTCAAGTACATAAACATGATCTACCACAATGAAAGGCAATTATTTCAAGTCATCGGCTTCCTGTCTCATCACCCAGGTAAAGCACCACCTAGAAACTATTGAAGGGTCTCTAGAGACCCCAGGATGGCACCCAGAGGGGAGCTGCCTGGAGAAGGAAGACTTGGTGCATAATTAGAAAGAAGCTGCATATCCGATGATGAAGGCATGGCGGGAGAAGATGAGGCACAGTGATAGGACGCACATTCAGGCGCCACTGAAAACGACGCTTACAAAGCTCTGCCATCATATGGGAAATGTCTGTTATATTCTGTGGAAAACCAAGATGCAAAACTATATTTATGAATAAATTCAATTTTAAAATAATCCAATTTTTAAAAGAATAGAAAACAATATTGAGAACTACACAGCAATGCGAGGGTGTTGGCCTGTGCAGGCCATGCATAACTTTCTCCTCTCTGTTTACATTTTCCAAGATTTCTAAGGGGAGCATATGTTATTTATATAAAAAAAATAAAATGAAGTAAACACTTATAATTGAATTTCCACAGCAGCTCAGTAAGGAAAACCAGGGTTTCTAAACGTTCTGCGTGAGCAAAAACCATTTTGGTGCAGGAGGAACTCTGGGGGCCTGCGCTGTGGCCAAGGGGATCCCCGCAGCTGTCCTGGGCTGGGCTGGACTGAGGAGCGACAGGCAGGCAGCGACTGGCATTTAAGAGGACTTGCTACATGCTGGCCCCGGGCAGGCCCTTCACATGGGCCATCTCCATAACTAGGCCCTGAAACGTCGTGTGCGGTGCCACTGTCGTCCCTACCTTACAGAGGAGCACCCTGAGGCTGGCAGGACTCGGCCCCAGCTCAGCGCACCCCCCTCGCACGCACGCTCAGCCGTCAGTCGCCTTTCCTCTAAAGCCATTTCAGGCGTCGCACACAACACTCCTCCAGCCTCTAGCACAGCCCCGCGGTGACTGTTGGCCTCCTGCTGGCTCACGTGGCACCGCACCGGGCACCGGCAAACTCAGATTCCCAATAGCCTCGGGCATTTCTTTTCAATAAAAGCACTTCACACACAAAACAAACGATTTCCTGTCTGAATCCCTGAGGCCCAAGTCTCTGGGCCGCCATTTCCCTCCCAAGCTTCACAGAGTGGATGTACCCCGCCCGACTTTCCCAGAATCTTTACCGTTGGCAGATGAAAGTTAGTTAATTAATGAAGAATAAAAGCTGTTACTAAACCTGTACCTAAAGGGGACGTGGCTCGTACACTGAGGCATGACTTCCCATGTGTATAATTTACAAACCACGAGAAACCTCCTTGGGTGGCAAGTCACAGATCTGACTTGGGAAAAACTGCTCCCCACAGAACGGGGTGCTCAGGGACACCAAGGCTCTTGGGCAGTGACCAGGTGGCTCTCTGCATTTTCCTTCCGAACCACATGGATAATGAAGGAGGCGGGAAGGGGGAGGGGAAGGGAAGGGGGAGGGAAGAAGGGAGGAAGGAGGGAGAGAAAGAAGGGAAGAAGGAAGAGAAGAGGGAAAGGAGGAAGGAGGGAAGGGAGGAGGGAGGAAGGAGGAGAAAGAGGAGGGGAGGAAGGAGGTGACAGGACGAGCACGCTGACAGACTCCCCTCTCACCCGCCCACAGGACAAGTGTACACCTCAGCCGGGCATGGGGCTGTCATCAGCACCCAGCTGCACCCCTGCCAGCCCGAGCCCGCTGTTCTGCAGGCGGCCCATGTTCAATGGCACAGCGGTGCCCGTGCACAGGAGCACCCGGAACTCACTGTGACTCTGACCTGGCATAGCCCTGCTGGGCACTGTCCCCGAGCACCACAGAGCTCAGATCTAAGGTCACCTCTCACGCTGCTCACTTCCACCCAGGATCCACCGCGTGCGAGATGATCGATGACTATTTATAGGAAGGAAATGGAGAAGCCTCCTCCGGCGTGACTCTTGGCCTCTTCCTGGTCCCTTATTCCCCGCACAGCGCTCCTAGAGACCTCAGCATGTGTCCTTCATGAGCCCGAAGGGGCCACTGCAACTGCACGCCCAACTCGGAAAGCTACCTGCTCCATGCGTAAAAACAAAAAGCCTGGAAAGGAATGGGCTGTTCCACTCCTTATTCTCTTCACAGCGCGACGCACTCCCACTCACAAAGCACACGCTCTCAGACAGTGGGTGTCCGGCAGGGCAGGGGAGGACGTGGTTGGGGATTTTCCTGTCTAGCTCATCTAGGCCTGTGTGCGGGGGCGTGCCACAGAAAACAAACACCAAGTCACCCCTGATATTAAAACAAGAAGTGAAATATCTATCAAATATGCAGAGAGAGAGAAGGAAAAAAGACACAATGCTCTTCTCAGTGCAGATTGACCTGTGCCTCCTGAAGGTGGACAGGGCCCAAACCCCAAGGTCCAGCCTTCCCCGGGGTGCCGGCTGGTCTGGCTGGAAGCCACACCCCTGAATCCCTTTCCCCTGAATCCGCTTCCCCGCGCAGCTGAGCTGGTGCTCCAGGGACCTGACCACACAGGGACAAGCAGCGGGTGCTCAGACCCTGCGGGCAGAGGCCTCCGGCCTGGCCTCTCCTCTGCTGGGCCAGGCGGGTACAGCAGCCAAGGGCTCCCATCTCTCCTACAGAAACCCCATCACCAGAGCTGGGGGCTGGGGACTGGGAGCGGCGGAGAAGCCGGCACGGTCCACTCCTCCCCTGGGGTCCCGCTCTGCCTGGCGGGCTCAGCTGGTCCTTGCCGCCTTCACACCCACCATCCCTTCCCGGCCGCCTGCCCAGGGCCTCAGGACCCGGCAGCACACACGGAACACAAGCCAAACCCCTGTCATAGGCCATGTGTGTGGGGACACGTGTCAGCACTCAGAGGCACCCCTCCTTCATCAACAGTAGGCAGGCTCCCCGGAGACTCTTTCCGACTGGGCCCCGGCCCTGGGCCCTGGCCACGGCTGTCCTTGGCCTGCCTGGGGCAGCTGTAGCAAGAACCTGCTAAATCAGTTCACCAAGTCCCCCCACACCCTTGATATCTAATCACCCGGCATCCGATCCACTTCCTCATCCCGCCCTTGAGGCCCAAGTCCTTGGCCGCCTTCACAAGGACCCTGTTAGGACAGTTCGGCCCCAACCCCCTGGCCCTGATGTCTCCGCTCAGTAATTTTCCATCTGCGCCTCCCTCCAGCTGCTGCCGGCTCTGCGTCCCCACTTGTCCTTGTGTTCGGGGCTGAGCTCAGCCTCTCTCCCCTACAGCAGCCTCCTAATAAAGCCTGCCTCACCGTGCTAGCAGGTGTGAGCGGATTTCCTCTTTGACAGTACATATGCATTATGCGTGTGTACATATGCATTATGTGTGTGTACGTATGCATTATGTATGCATGTACATAAGCAGTATGCCTGCATTTTGTGTACGTGTTCCATTTATTTAGCCCAGAAATGAACCCTGACTGATGCAGCAGTATGCACAGCTTTGTTGTCATTTTCAAAGGGGTACTTCTTCCTCTTCCATAAGCAAAACCTTTTGTGATGGAAGGCTGTTCTGAAACTGTTTCCAAGCTCAATGAGCGGTTTCTTTTTTCCTTCAAAGAAATGAAAAATGTCATCACCCCACCTCCAGGGGGCAAACAAAACTTGGCATGTTCAAGAAATCAAAGTGGTCGCTGTGGGGCACAGGTAGGGAGCCTCGCCAGGCTGTTAGATTCACACGTGGTGCCTGAGCTAATCTCTGTAACACACAGGTGCTGCTTAGGGTTCCAGCGACACTTGCAAACTCCACGGTAAGCTAAGGGGACCTGTCACAGTGCTCAAAAGGGGTTCCCTGACACCCTCAGTTTTATCCCAGAAACAAGTGCACCCTTTTGGGGCACCCTCA